AAGTTTCAATTCTTTGGTGCTTTTGATTTTCTTACTGAACTGTGTACCTGCTTATTTTTCTTCAACTACAGAACATTATACTGCACTGTGTTGTTGTTTACACTCTATAAAAACGTTGATCTCGAGAATATTAAAAATATTAACGTGAAATTAAGCTGGATGTATCTTTCTAGGCTTTATATTTCACACCTTACTTCTATAAGGATGGAATAAAGACTCTTATGAAAGAGGCTTTAGTGTCTGCATATTATGCACTCCGCAGAGAAGTGAGAGAAGGCTAGAAAGAAACACTTGCGGAGAAAATTGATGAGAAGAACGATGAACTTTTGCCTGATGGTCTGTCGGATTACTTCTACAGAAAATCATTGATGTAACATTTGCAGGACTTAAACACTAAAGGGCAATTTTTGTGCAGATATCAGCAGTGCATATGCATGGTTGAAAAGTCATCTGGAACCGTGGTGTGAGGTTGTTAACAAATGGTTGTTTACTGCTAACCATAGATTAGCTAAATATAGAGCGGACGATGAAACTGTGCAAACCTACACTGAGAATTTTAGAATATTGAGACAACTTTTAAGGTATACCTTAGTAACTTTTACACTGTGAATTATTTTTATGGGAACTTAATTTTTAACAGGCTATAGGCTATATAAGGCTCATGTTATTGCAGTGTTCATGCAGTATTGATAGTACAGTAAAATTTTATTGTTTTCTGTCCTTTCAGTTTGAGAAAGACTTTGATTTTCTTTATCCTGGAACGCAGGACTTAAGTAGCAATCCAAAATTGAAATTTTTTCTTCAAGCTGCTTATTATGAATTTTTAAAAATGAAGCCAAGGCCCAAGGAACTTATAGATGTTCTTGAGAAACTAAAATCAAGAAGCTAACGGAGGTATGAGTTAAATCTACCAGATCAGTCATTAAAATCTTTGCCTGTAATTTGTGTGATATAAAAAAGTGAAACATTTGAAACGAGCTTAAATTAAGTGATATTTATATTTTGCTTCCAGAAAGTTTGAATCCACTGTACATACTTATGAATTTGTGCTATCTTGCTCCTATTCAAACTGTTCTGAAAAAGAAAGCTAACGCTCCAGGTTGGAGACCCAGTCGACAGGAAATTCAGGACGGTTTTATAACACTTATTCCTGTAAATAATTTTATTTTCACGATTGTAAGCAATTAGTGTCATTTTTATATAAATTATTTTATATAAATTATTATGAAGTTATGTTTTTTTAATTTTAGGATGTCTCCAAACTAGAAGAAACAATAAATAGCCGGAACACCAAATTCCAGGAACGTAAAATAATTAGACAACCCTTTGTCATTATTGTTGGGGCTGACATTGATTCCATTCTTCATTCTTATGTATCTGTGAATGATATTCTTTACAAATTTGAATCTCCGCTTCGCGCACTTGAAGTAAGCTTCAAGATTTTCTTTGTATTGAATGCTGACTACTCAATTGACAGCCATCCCCTCTGGCTGCTTTTGCAGAAGGCTGTCTACGGCATCAATACTAAACACGACAGAGCAGTTTCAACAATGGCTACACAAACTCTTCTCGACCGATTTGGTTTAACTTTGTGACTTTTTGATATTTGTTGTTTTAGTTTTTGTTCCTATTTATTTCCTTTTTTTCTAGTTGCAAAAATTCGCAATTTTTTAGATAAACTTGTTTTTTTTTTACTTTAATAGTGCTTAAAGATAACTGGAGAGCATGCCTTAAGATGATTCATTGTCCGAATTGCTTAAAAATTCTTTTCTCTATTAATGCTTTGCAAATACATTTGAAACGTTCCCACAATATTAATACAAGGCATGGATCATTCTCGCCATTTTCATGCTCTGAGCCTAAATGCGGGAGACGGTACAGTAGTTGGAAATCGTTCAGACAGCATCTTATAAAGTTTCATTTAGTCTGTGTTAAAGCATTAGTAAGTTGATTTGGGCCATGAGGCCCTTCGCGGTCGTGTGCGAAACCGTTGGCTGGCGCAGCCTGATCATGCGCGGTCCTCCCCCCTTCTCGCC